GGCAGGGGTCTTGTCCCCGTGTCCGCTCACTCGGGGGTGCTCTGCTGATGTCCACAGCGAGGTCGCTGCCAAGGTCTAGGAAGGCCGGGGAGCTCTGCCTCTACTTCCTCCATAACTGCAGGCCGATCCCAGCCGTGGGGGGAGGAACGGGGTGCTCACGGGGACCCTCGCCTCTCCTTCCTGGCACTTCTGGCTTCTCTGAACACCACGTGGCGGGGGGGGGGGCTGGTGTAGCCCTCAGGCAGATGTTGACTCACAGGGGTCCCCACTAACCCAAGAAGACGGGACAGAAAGTCGGGGGCGGGGCGCGCACAGCAGGCCGGAGGTCCAGGGGGGAGGGGTCGGCTCCTGCAGGGTTTGTTTTTCGTGCCGTTTCCCTTGGTGGCCAGTCTGTGTGCTGTGTGTGGGCCTGAGGAGGGGGCCCCAGGGGACTCAGACGTGGCCACGGAGAGTGGTGTGGCAAGTCCCTGCTCACGCGGGGACCCTCCCCCGCGCCCCACTCCGGCCCTGGGAGGGTCTGGCCGCGGCGGAGATGACCGATGGTCCTGGGTCTCCTGGGCTGTTCATTGTTGACACCAGAAAAGTTCCCGAACCAGCTCGGAGGCCCCCTCCCCCCCGTCCCCGCTTGAGACCCGAGGGTCCGTGGCCCCGGGGCCGGGTGGGGTTGGGGGCTGCTCCCTGTTCCCGCCGCCCCTCCCCCCGGGCCTGAGGACGCGGCCCGGACCCCGCGCCCGAGGCAGCCCTGTAACCAGAACTGTCGAATCGCGGCGCGCGGCCTGCGGACGCGTCCCCGGAGGGAGGCCGGCACCTGCGGAGGACGTGCCTGGCAGCCGCCGCGAGAACAGCCCGTCCTGGGGGGGCCGGGGCGGGGCGAGCGAGCGGAGCGCGGGAACTCGGTGCGGGAGGAAGGTTCTGGCGCAGGCGCTGGGCCCCCGCCAAGGCGCCGGAAAGCCTCCCCCTGCTCGGGCGCGGAGCCGGCCTCCGCCTGTCGCTGGGGGCTGGCTGGTTAATCTGTAACTCCCCACACCCTCGGGGCCTCCAGGGCCCCTCGTGGGAGGAGAAGGGAGGCCCAGGGGCCGGGGCCTTCCAGGGAGTCTCACCACGTCTGTCCGGGGCCCTCAGGAAGGACCACCGTGGGCACCCCTCGAGTGCTGTGGGGGGGGGGTGTTGGACGAAGCAGTGAGGGCTTTTCCCCGGTGGGGTGCGAGGGGGACGGGTCGAGCCCTGCACAGGGGAAGGCAGATGGGCCTGGCAGGAGCGCGGTCGCCTCCGGAGGGGGGCGTGCCAGAGGGGTCAGCTCTCCGGGACAGGGCTGTGCCTCACCCCTGCCAGCCCCTGCTCCGGGACTTGTGGGGCTGTCGGGAGGTGAGCCCTGGGACCCTGGACTCCCCTCCCCCTGCCACTGTGCCCACGAGGCCCCTGCGGAAGCCCCGAGGAAGCCCCGTGGAAGGCTCAGGGCTGGGGGCAGGCACGGGTCTGCCCCAGGGAGCGCTGGGGAGTTAGGACACACCGACTCCGAGCCTCCGGTTCCTGCCTCGCAAATCGGGCATCGACGCACCCCCTCTGCGGGCTCTTGGAAGGATCCGTGAGGCCGGGAGCACCGCCACGCGGGGCAGGCGTGGGGTGGCTGACGTCGTCTTGGGTTGCGTTACCCCTCCGGCCCCTCAGTAGGCGCCGCCCTGGCCAGCGCCAGCGAGGCCGCCGGAGGGGCGCAGGCACAGACGCCCCCGCGGGGCGCCGGAGCACTGGAGGGGTCCGCCCCGCCACGCAGGCTGCCCCAGTGGGTTTCCAGAGCAGCTCCGCGGGGCTCGGGGGGAGAAGGGAGGGTTGGGCAGTTGCGAGGCGCTGCTGCAGCCATCGGGCACCAGGGGGCAGCATGGGGCCGGGGACGGAGCGGCCTCTCTCCGGCCAGAATCTGCGAAACGAGCCTCGGCCTCCGGAGCTGTGAAAGGAGCCCGGATATCCAGCCCGCGCGGGGAGAGCTAAACCCCACCACGGGCTGGGTGTGGGCTCACCGTCTTGACCACTATAAGCCACAGAGAGCTCGCCTTCCCGAACCTCCGTCTCCCCATCTCGAAAATGCCCAGGCCCTGCTCGGGAGTGCACCTCCCATGCCAGTGGACTGAGACAAAACCAGCGTTTGCTCCTCACCCCATGGCCGTGGGGCCGGTGCGTGGAGGGCGCTGGCCGGTGGCCCTGCTCTGCGTGGCCCCACAGGGCTTCCCTGCCCTGGGGCTCTGCTGTCCCAGGTGTCCGTTCCCGGCTCCCCACTGGCCGGCGTCCCGGAGAGGAGAGGGCTGAGGAGCAGAGCCCCTCTGTTCCCATTTGTGGCCAAGACTGGAGGCCTGTCCACGTGCTCGGAGGACAAGGGCGACGGAGTGAATGTGTGACCACTCAGAAGCACAAACGTGCTGCAAGAGGACAGCAGGAGGCTGGGTGCTCCTGACACCCCCACAAGGGCCCCCCCACGCCCAGGCACTCGGGAGTTGGGGCGCTGGGGCAGCCGGGGGCAGTCCCGGCTGGTCCTGGGAACCAGCTGTTCGCAGCAACACGTACAAGCATTGTTTCTGTTGCTTTCTTTCTTCCTTCGGAAATATTTTTAATTACAAACGGAGCTTGGTTGTTGCATCCACACAGATGCTGGCCTGCTCGGGCCCCTTGGGCTGGAAGGGGCCTCTGGCTCCCAGCCCCCAGCCCCACCGCTGCCCTCAGCCAGCTTTGTCCCCGGCGGAGAGGGCGGGGCCGGCCCCGGCCCAGGACCCGCAGGTTCGGTAAGCTGGTGGGTGCCCTTCCTGATTCAGTTCGGGGTCACAGACTCAGAGAAGGCCACCTCTCTGCTCAGGAAGGAGGTGGTCCCGTGGCCCCCGGGGGAACAGAAGACGAAGCCGGGAAGCTGGGGGAGGGTCCAGCCTGAACCTCGCTCCTTCCCGGCCGAGGGGCCCCTGCAGCTCCTTTCTGGGGAAACAGGCGAGGCCCAGCCACGGCCACACTTCGTGACGTGAGGCGTGTGGGAATGTGTCACTCCCAGTTCTTGGAGGCAGGACTCAGTGTCACACGCTGCTGGGCTTCTTGCCGTGGGGGTTCTGGGGCCCACCTGCCAGAAGCAGCTGGCAGTCATGGAGGGTTCGGGTGGGGGTGGTTGGTGGTCCCCAGCCCATCAGCGCGGGGCCGGCTGGGGGCTGGTCCAGAGCGAGTGCCTTCCTTTCTCCAGGAAGGGAGAGGACCCGGAGGACGGGCCATGGCACCCCGACCTCCGGGCCATGCCGGGGGCTGTGTGCTCCATATGTTGTGGTCGCTGCCTGCCGTGGCCCTGAGCCACACGGGATGGGAAGGCCCTGCCTCCTTCTATCCCCAGGCCAGGTGACATCAGAGGCCCATGGCCCGGGGGAGCCGGCTGTGGTCAAGCTGTGGTCAGTTCCTCCTATTTTCCCGAAGACAAAAACAGCGGCACCCACGCTTGTAAATGCAGTGCACTGAAAATAAAGAAATCAACACCCCAAATTGCCTTCGTTTCTGCTTTCGAGAACCCCTAATGGCACCCTGCCTGGCCCTCCCCTGGGTAGGTGCACTCCCCCGTTTGTCCCCTCCTTGCTTCAAGCCTCTTCTCCCCCGCCCCCCCCCCGCCCCTCAGTACAACACACAGACACACGGGTTCACGGTGTCCGGTCCAGGTGTGCTGGGAGCCGCCCACCACCCCAGCAGTGGGGCTGAGGGCTCGGGCTCCTCTGGTCCTCGGCTCTCAGGCCGAGACAGGCCAGGCCCAGGGGAAAGCAGCAGGAAGTTAAGGTCCTCCGTGGCCCAGCGCGGTGGGAACAGCCACGGGGAGGACCAGGGGCTGGGCCAAGGGGTGCTATGTGGGGAGGAGGGCCGTGGGCCCCGGCGGGCACTCCCCCCCTCTGGGTCAGCCTCCCCAACCCCTTGGGTGGCACGCCCCTTCATTCTTAGGGGCGTCCTTTCCCCAACAACCAACAGTATTTTCTGGGCACGTCTGAAGGGGTGCTGCCCCCCAGTAGGAAAGTGGAGAGGGGCAACTCCTGTAGCAGAGCGGGGCTCCACAGGGCACGCGGGCTCTCCAAGGGACAAGGGACCAGGCTGGCACCGAGGATTAGCAGGACCGGTCAAGCCCCCCCCTCCCGGAGGAGCCTCCAGGGCCCCGCGCAGCACCCCATCCAGCCGCCAGTCTGCGCAGTTGTCCCACGTGGCCCCGCACAGCCCGGAGTGGCCTGGGCCCGGCCTGAGGGTGCCGGCCGACGGCGACATGATGGGCACAACCCAGGACGGGCTGAGCAGGCTGGGAGGGCCCCGAGCTCCTGAGGCTTCGGACCGGGCCGCAGGGGGAGGAGGTCCAGAACTCAAAGTGTCCCACACTTCGCCGCCGTCGCGGTGAAAGAGGGGAGCTGACCCACCTCCCTCTGGCCGCCCCCTTCTTCCTGCTCCAGAGCTTTAGGGCGAGCAGGTGTGTTAGGTCTCCAGGTGCGCGGAGCCCTCTCGGAGACGCAAGCCCTGGGCGCAGCAAGCCGCGCAGGGGAGCAGCCGGAGACCCCCATCTCGCTCCAGCCAGGGGCGAGTTGCCCGCGGCGGGTTAAAGCCCCGTCAGCTGGCGCGGGAAGCCCAGTGGCGAAAGCTGGCGGCGGGTTGGGCACCCTCGAGGGGCGAGTCAGTCCGGGACCGCCGCTCGCCGAGCCGGAGAGGGCGCGCCGGCCGAGGGGGGGCGCCCGAGTTCCTGCTGCCGCGCGGCCCCCGCGGGCAGACAAAGGAGCCAACGCGGGGCGGGGGAGATGGGGCGAGGGGGCGGGGCGCCGCGGTGTCACGTTACCGCCCGCAGCGCCCTTTAACTCTGGTCCCGCCCCCCGAGCCCGCTCCCCGCGCCCGCGCCCCGCCAATCCGCCCGCTCGCCCCGCCCGCCCCGGGTGGGTGTGTGCTCGCGGCCAATGGGCGGCGCGCGGGGGCCGGGCCGCGGGCCGAGTGGGGGGAGCGGCGCGGGCCAATCGAGGCGGTGTTGTTGAAACTGAAAATACTACTTTATGCTAATCGCGGTGGGGCCCGCGAGCTGTGGGCGTGGGACCCTCGAGTATAAAGGGGCGCGCGAAGGCTGGGCGTTCCACAGCCAAGTGCTCAGCGCTCGGTGGGTGCCAACCAGGCCAAAGCCACCCGAGCGAGCGAGGACAGGCATCGAGGGGGCGCGGCCCGACCACAGAGCGAGCGAGACTCAGGAGCCGTTCACGGCCCGACAGCCAGGTAGCCGCCGCGCCCGCCGCGTCCCTTTGCAAATGCAGACTCCGACTGCGCGGGGTGTCCCTTGCGCCCGGCCTTCGCCCTCCTCTTCTCCTTCTCCTTCTCCTCCTCTTCCTCTCCTCTCCTCTCCTCTCCCACGGCCCGGGACCCTGCGGTCCCTGGCCATGTCCGACGTGTATCTCTGCAGCGAATTGGCAATGGAGCGTCTTGTCTCCCGCCGCGCCTATCCCCAGATAGCGCGCAGCAGCGCCTGCCGTAGCCTCTTCGGGCCGGTGGACCACGAGGAGCTGAGCCGCGAGCTGCAGATGCGCCTCGCGGAGCTGAATGCCGAGGACCAGCGCCGCTGGGACTACAACTTCCAGCAGGACGTGCCGCTGCGGGGCCCCGGGCGCCTGCAGTGGACCGAGGTGGACAGCGAGTCCGTGCCCGCCTTCTACCGCGAGACGGTGCAGGTGGGGCGCTGCCGCCTGTTCCTGCCGCCCCGGCCCCGCCCGGAAGGCGCGGGTGCTAACCCGCCCCCCGGGCCGCCGGCTGACGAGCCCCTCGACGGCCTGGAGGAGGCGCCGGCGTCGCCCGACAGCGGCCCGGCCGTGGCTCCGGCCCCGGCCCCCGCCGCGGCGCCGCCAGAGAGCGCTGAGCAGGAGGCGGGACCGCCGCCGCGCAACCAGGAGCCCCAGGCTGAGCCGCTGCACTCAGGGATGTCGGGGCGCCCCGCGGCGGGCACTGCGGCCACCTCCGCCGCAGCGGCCACCGCCGCGGCCGCTGCCACCACTGCCGCTGCTGCCGCCGCGGCCGGAGCTGGAGGAGCTGGGATCAAGAAGCTGCCCGGGCCTCTGATTTCTGGTGAGTCCCGCTCGGCCCCGCCCCAGCCCGGTCCGGCCGCGCTTTGTCCAGCTGGCCGTGCTCCCGGCCCTGGGGGGGCTCGGGGGGTCCCCGCCTTCTCCCGTGGCGTTAAAGGGCCCGCCCGCGGTCCCCGCCCTGTTGTTGTGCTCCGGGGCCGCTCTCTAGGGCGGGAGGGATGGGACGGCGCGCTCTGGCCACGGGAGTCCCTCCCCGGGCGTGGCGACCGTGGCGCGGAGGGGGTTAAGTGCGCGCGGCAGCCCCGGGGGGCTTGGCCGCGGGACGGGGGGAATGCTTCCGCAGCGCATCGCGCGGCGACGTAAACAAAGCTGACCGGCGGTGGACCTGAGCGCGGGCGGGGATGGTCGCCCCCACCCCAGCCGCTCTTAGGCTCCCTCGCACGCCCCGCCCTGACCCGCAGCGCGCGCTGTCGCCGCAGACTTCTTTGCCAAGCGCAAGAGATCTGCTCCGGAGGCCAAGCCCAACGAGGTCCCTGCGGGATGCAACGCTTCTGGCGGCGCCCCGCCCGTGGGCTCCCCGGAGCAAACCCCGCGCAAGCGTCTGCGATGAGGTGAGTGTGGTGGCTGGGGGCGCGGGGAGGGGTCCCTGGGGTCCCCTTGGTCGCCGCGGTCTTCTGCCCACCTCACTGTGCCCGTCTCTCTGCTCCCCGCAGCCTCACACCCAAAGAGCCCCGAGGGAACCCGCTGGGCAGCCGACAGAAAAAGAGCGCTGGGCCTCGGCCGGGACCGTCCTTGTAGCAGCGACCGGTGGCAAGCCGCCACCGGCAGCGTTTGGTTTTGTGTTAAAGTTTGAAAACTGTGCAATGTATTAATATCTCCTTTATATCTAAATGTATTCTGCACGGAGAGCACACTGGTCCCAAGGTGTAAAGCTTTAAGAGTCATTTATATAAAATGTTTAATCTCTGCTGAAACTCAGTGCAAAAAAAAAAATGAAAAAAAGAAAAAAAAAGGAAAAAAACATGTATATTTGTACAAAAAGTTTAAAAAAAAATTATACTAACTTATATTTTCTATTTATGTCGAGGCGTGGGCCGCTCTGCCTTGCAGTAGCTTGGTTACTGGTTATGCCAAAGGCGCCCCCCCCCACCTGGTCACCCTGGTCGCCCACAAATGTAAATTTATTTTTGTAGCGGATTCCGGGGGGGTCGCTCACGAGCCCTAGCCGCCTGCCTGCCGCACCAGCCCACCTAGCTTGCAGTCTCTTCGCGCTTTCGCTCTGTCTTTTATTATTAGGGTTACTTTAAACTTGAAGACGACTCTGTTAAAAACGGTTCCTGAGCCGACTACACCACTGCTCCGGCCCCTCGTCCGCCGGGTTCCAAATAAAGAGGCCGACAAACGCTGCGACTCAGCTCTTTGTGTGCTTGTGCGGACTCGGGCTCCCCCGCCCGGCCCCCCCCCCAGAGCTAGGGAGATAGATTACCACCCGGGGGCGGCCCCGGAGGGGGGACGGTCTCCAGGCAGGCTGGCTGGCGCCCACCTGCTGCAGGCTCCTAATTTAGGGATGAGCGGCCCCGCCCGGCTCTGCGATCGTTCACACACATACACAGGTGCGGGCTGTGCCCCGAGACTCACTCCAAGGCAACTGCCACACCCAGCTGCCCTGCACTGAGCCCCGTGGGCCTCAGGTGGGCACCCACACTGCAGACCCCACTCCTGACTGCGGTCACCCCAGGGGCCCACCCACACAAGGTGGAGCCCCAGTCGCTCCTGAGGTTCGCAGAGACCCCTGAAGGGTTCTGGGCCTCTTGGCCCTGCGCTGGGGGAGGGGCGGCCCACAGGCCTGCTGGGTGGGGCAGGGGAGGGCAAGGGAAAGCCGGTGGGCTCCCTCAGGGCCCCTGTGGAAGAACTCCAGGCTGTGTCCGCCCTTGGACTTGGGGACCTCAGGCACACACTGGCATTCTGGTTTCAAAGTTCTCCCTTCAGTCATAAAGGGGAGACATTTAAAACAAAAACCGCTGACCTATAAACCTCTGAAAATCACGGCTTACAATGGGAAGGGTGACATAAAACAGCAAAACACAGAGGCCGGTGGCATTTTTGCTGGTGCCAGAAGAAGTGCAGGCCTTGTGTACCCTCAGTGACCAGTTTGGGGGCTGAAGTCCCCCCATGGTCAGGGACAAAGGCTGGGCTCAACCCTCACTTTTGGACACACACGTGGCCTTGCAGTTAACCCACTCCAACTGCCTAAGTCGGCCTGGCCTCGAGGCCCAGCAGGGGCTCGCCCCGTCCCCCCAGTGACAGCGGGGCCCCTGCCCCCTTCAGCTCCGAATCAGCCTGGTCGCCCCGGAATGCGGAATCGGATGGCACGGCTCAGACTCAGGCCCCAGCCTCCCCCTCCTGGGGGAGGGGGCCTGCTCTGACCCCCAATGTGAGGGCGGAGGTGGGGAGGGGAGCCGCGGGACCCCATCCCCCAGCTGAAAAGTGTTACTGATGACAGAACCTGGAGGGTGGGTGCCCTGCCGTCCCCAAGCACAGTGGCTACAGAGCCTTGGTCCCGCGGGCGGGGCGGCCGGATCCTGCCCGCTCTGTGGCTCACAGGTCTGGTGCCCAGGCCAGGGACCTGGCGGGGGAGTGTGTGGCAAGGGTGTGCCTCAGCGGTGGCTTTCTCTGCGGCACCGGGAGGGCTGCGTGGCTGAAGGTGGCCACCCGTGTTCTTTCTTGGGCAGTTTCTTCCGGGGGCTCGAGCTGGCAGGGGGGACCCAGAGGTCGCCCTATAGGGAAAAAGCACTGGGTGGTGAGTCTCCCGTATGACTCCGGGCACAGGTGGCCGGGCAGGCCCTCCTTCCCCTCCGTGGGCCTTGGCTTCCTGCCTCGGACGTCCTGGGAGAGGGTGACCCGGCCAGCCTGTGCTTGTCTGTGAGTGCCCCGCTGCCAGGACGGGCCCTTTCCTCCATGTCCCCCTGCACGGGGGACCCTCGGTGGGGATAATAATGACAATGACTGTGACGACCAGGACAAGGAGCCGTGAGGGCTCCCCGTGCTGGGTCCTTGCTCTGTGTCAGGCACTAGTCCACCTTCTGTGAGGTCCTGCCGGCCGGGGGACCACACCTTGGTCCCCGCTTGTTTAAGGAGGAAACTGAGGCAGGGAGAGACCTGTGCAAGGCTGAGCTGCCGCCCTGGGCAGGACTGGGGACCACGGGCCCAGAGCCACTGGGCTCTGCTTCCTGGAGCTCCATCTTCTCTCGCCCCTCACAGGGCGGGCCCAGGGTGCGGAGCAGAGCCAGGCCCCAGGGAGCGGAGCCTGGGCCTGCGGAGCCCGCTGGGCAGCCCGGCACGCAGGGTGGGACGCAGGGACAGGCACCGGGAAGGCAAACCGTGAAGCCTGTGACCCCTTAGCCAACGAAGCAGGCACGGCCAGGCCGGGGCTGAGGAGGGGCTGCCCTGGGCAGGCACCGGGCCCAGGTGCGCAAAGGCGGGGGAGGGCCTGGCGCCGAGTGAGGGCAGAGGCTGAGGGGGGCCCCTGTGGGTGGGGGTGCCGCTGGGAGTCTCCCCAGGAGCCAGGTCCTCTGGACTCCCATCTGGCCTGGCCTGGGGTGGGTGTGGGACCTGCCCGTGGCCTAGACATTTGTCACTGACAGGGTGCCTGGTCAGTAAGCCTGTCAGGCTCCCCGCCCCCACCCTCTCCCACTGGCCTCCTGGACCTTCCGGGTCTGATGGGCTGGGGCCAAAGGGCGGATTTTATCTGCAGGCAGTGGGGGGCCCTGGAGGCAGCAAGGCGGGGTGATGGAGGCCGAGGCTGCTGGGTGGCGGGGACGTGGGGGCTGGCGATGGGCTCCTGCGGCCACTCAGGCAGGACACCAGTTTGGCAAATACCCACTTGCGTCCAGTGTGCTGGCTGCTGCTTTGGGCACCAGAGACCCAGCAGGAAATGAGAGGGACACAGCTCCCGGTCCCCGGGAGCCGCTCCTGCCGTGGCAGATGACAGAACAACACCTGCTCAGCGAGGGCCGGGGGGCGGGTGTGACAGCAGGCCAGGCCGGGGAGCCCCCTCCGGCCCCAGCAAGGCCCCGCTGAGCTTGGCTGAGGTGGGGCTGGGACATGTGAGGATGACGTGGGAGACCGGCTCAGGCAGAGGGAGCGGCGGGTGCAAAGGCCCCGAGGCCTGCAGCCCCCAGAGGACAGGGGGCTGGAGTGGTGGGGGGGGGCCGGGAGGGAGACCTGGCAGGGTTCTCTGATGGCCTGGGTGGGGTGGGGACGGGGGTGCCCTGAGGAGTGTGTTTACTTGTGAGTGTGAATGTGGGCCTTTCTCTGAGCCTGAGCAGAGAGACCGTTCCCGGGGAACGGGAGAGGAAGGGTCAAAGGCCCTCTTTTGGGACTCCTCTCTGACCCTGAGTCGGCAACCCACAAGTGCTGACCCCGGTGGCCCGCTGAGGGGCTGGGGACCTGGCCCCGCAGGGTGCGTGGGGCCCCGCCCTCTCCGGTGGCCTCCGGTCTGCTGTTGTGGTCACACGGGCTTTCTCACGTGTCCAGTGGGCAAGGCGGGGAGCACCTGGATCGAGGGGCTTCGGGCAGAGCACAGGGGCCAGGGAGCATTTCCGGAGGGGCTGGTGTGCAGTGACCCCGGCCCTGGACACACCGTGGGGCACGGTGGCCGTCTGTCCATCCCGCCTCGGGGGACGGTGAATCATCCTGAGGCAAGAGCGGAAAGCAGCCGGCGAATGAAGGGCCATGAGTCCCCTACCCCTCTCCTCCGCCTGTCCCCGCACCGATGGGCTGGCTGTCCAGGGCTCAGGCCGTGGCAGCGGGGCTCGGGGCACCAGGGCGGCGGGGCCCGGCCGAGCGAGCTGCAGGGCCAGGTGGGACTTCGGGCGGCTGAGGCTCGGCCCAGTTTTCTCCGGGACCTGCTCCCAGGAGAGCAGAGCCGCACCCTCCCATCACCGACCTGCCTCCCGGGACTGTGGGGAGCTCGGGGGGGACACACAGCTCTGTGGGACCCTCCCAGTGCCAGGACCCCGAGGGATGGGCCGAGGCCTTCGCCCCTTCCCCACCTGCCTGGTGATCCTGGGAGTCAGGAGTGCTGGGGGGCTCGGCCCCACCGGCCAGGGGCAGATGGCCTTCCAAGCTGGCCCAGGCCCACACCGGGCGGAACCAACCAGCACCAGCTGGGGCCTCGGTCCTTTTCCTGGGCGTCTCCAGGGGCTGCTTGGGCTTCCTCCTGGCATGGTGGCTGGGTTCCCAGGGCGCTGCTCTCTAACGGCCCAGCCTGGGAAGGGAAGGCGCCTGCAGCTGCCGCCTCCTCCCCGAGCCTGTGCTCTACCAAGCCCGCTGGCGTCCAAGGGAGGGGGTCCAGCCCTGCTTCCCCAGAGAGCTTTCGGCCCTCTGGCCACGCACCCTTCCTGGAAATGCCCAGCGCTGACCCAGCACATCCCAGGGGCTCGCCTTCAGGACTCACCAAGCAATTGCTACCTAAGTTAAAACCAAGCTTGTTTTCCCTTAGCATGGATTTTCAGGAACACACGGAAAGAGAGGCCACGGAGCAGTTCTTGTGTTTGAATGGACTGAACACCAGGAATGGCTTCTTGCTCAGACATCAGAGCTGGGTCCAGGGAGAGGCCGAGCCTTAGGCGTGTGCACAGGACTCGGGGACCCTCCTCGGGCACCACGGTCACGGAGCCAGCGCCATGGCAATGCCTGATAAGGGCGCCAGCCCTCTCCTCCTTCCGTGTATATTGTAATACACAACACGCACGTGCATGGACAGATACATAGTTTCTGTTTCTGTTAACTTTGTAGCTGTTTATGTGTTTTTCTCAGCAATAGCAACAGTATCACTTGTATCTCCTTTAAGAA